GGGGGGGGGGGGGGGGCATACCAGCCTGAGAGATCCAAACTGCCATCTATGGTCGCTAACATTTGATCAGCAAGAAATTTACTAATGAATAGCACAAACCAACAAGCAATAGGACAGCTGTCCTGTCCTGTGACAATCATTAATTTTTCGATATGAACGGCAAATAATGTTTTTTTTCCTCACCACTGAAACAGTTGATGTAGTTCCGATGATGCGATAGAAAATTCAACGAATTCATGAAAAAAACAATTCAATCGGTCTTCCATAACAACTCGAAGTTGCTTATTCCCTTTTAGAGTTTATCGGCATCAACTTGGGGGCCTCTCAGTCACAAGTGTCTGTGTGTGTGCTGATTTATACGGTGAACGGTGATGCATTCGTGTTTTCGGTGCCTTTATGAAAGTTTCATGCAGGAAATATTTTGCACGACTACCTGAGGAGGAGAGACAAATTGAGGCGGGAGGGGCGGTCGTGGGGTCTTTGAAATGCTTGTTTTGGTTTTGCAAGGAGGGAAAATATTCAGAGCTGATAGATGAGAGTTGGTGTAGGAGTGACGAGGTGAAAGTGACATTCGCGTATCTGTCTTGAGTAAAAAAATTTTTGTGATTTAGGAGGGGGCTTCGCCCCCCCGCTCACTTCGCTCGCTAACACCAGGGGGGCTTAGCCCCCCTCAATCTTCTTGGGTATGTTTAGGTGTTCGTATTATACATATAGAAAAAAAAATGATGGAATGATTTACCTCTTTTGAAAAATTCAGATTTTTATTATTCACAAAAAACTCCAACGCCTTTTGCCGTGAGACTCTTTTTATTTTTTAAGGATTTGACTCCCCTATACGGAAAAATATATATTCGGAAAATTATATATTTTATATATGGAATTGGCCTGATTTATGTATAAAAGTTATATAAAATATGAATTTATATAGGCTTCATATTTATTTTATATAAATGTTATATATATTTTTATGTATTATATATGATAATAATAATATTATTATTATATATATTATATATTTTTATTATATATATTTTTTATATATTTTTCCATGAGAGCCCACATGACTTCAAATGAACCTGTGGAGATATGAACATATTGGAGAAATTGAGATAATAATTCATTCTCAATAGCATCATCAGGGCCACAATAAGGGTCAGAGTTAGGGATGTCTCCGAAATTTTCGAACCTCCTTATTTTTTTACTGTATTATATGCATTTTTGGTAGGATTTTTTGAGTGAAAAATTATTTATCTGATTTCACCATCGATATAGATGGATAATGGAAGATTTAATCAGTCCAACCTCCACCATTTGGAAATATTGAATTGAATATTCACTTGTTTGTAGATAATTGCATGAATCATAGATTTACGGTCATTTTTAGTAATTGTCTCATTGAAATAATTGATAACCGCCGAACTACGGCGAAAGACAAAGTCTAATTGGCGCCAGAATTCTTGTCATTTTAGTGACAATGGTGAAAATTTCTGTTTAAAAAAAATGAGTTTTTAGGTAATTTACGACACAAAAAACTTTTTCTTGTGTAAAACCCGTCAAGCTGAAGATTATGCTATGTATGACGTTTCATTTTGAAAAGTTTTTCATGTTCTTTGCATATCTCAAAGGGCGATTTGATAGCTTGAAAATACGGAGATATTGCGGTCAATTTTTAAGAAACAAAAATCACGAAGAAAAACTAGAAATTTAAAAAAAATCATAACTCCCTCAATTATCAATATTTTTCAATTTTGTTTCCAAAATTTTTGTCTAATAGCCATCTTTTCAGAAAGGAAGTGAGACGAAACTCCTCAGCAGAGATTTTTTTTGTCTAGACTGAGAGAAAAATTTGCTATACCGTTAGAAAATTGCTCTTGAAATTTCAAGGGAAAAAGCTTGAAATTTTTAACAACGACAAAGTTACATAAAATTTCTATAGAATTCTTCATTGACGAATCAGTTAATTTCTTGAATATGCAAGTAATTCTCGATTTTGAGGCCCATACAGTACTGAAAAACCTTGAACATTTTCAAAATTCAGGTAATAACTTCTCTGAATTTTCAATCTATTGAAAATTGAACATCATATACAATTCAATTTCCAATAGATATCCTCGTGGTGTCGTATTTCTTTTTTTCGTCATCTGAATTTAATATTAAAAATTGTAAGATTTATGTTGAAAATTGGGAACTTTACAATTTAACGGTAATCATGATAGATGGTGCCTATCATTGCTCATGATACACTTTTATAGAACGGTAGGATAATTTTCATCAAAAATTTTTCTCCGTGTGAGTTCATTTGCGACAAAATCATACTTGAGTACAAAAATATTTTTCATCACGCTGTGACGAAAAGTGAACTTTTCGGCACGCTCCGCGTGCCTAAAAGTCCAATTTCCGCCACATTGTGATGAAAAATATTGTTCGTAACTCGTGGAAAAATATTTTTCGTGAGAAGACCCGATAAACCGCGATTCTAACCTCACTTCGCTCGGTTTGATCGCGGTTTACGGGCCTTCTGACGAAAAATTGCATTCATCACACGGTCCAAAAGTATTTTCTGACGAATGTGATTATAGGCCTCGCCTTCGGCTCGGCCTACAAAGCCACTTTCGTCAGAAAATACTTTGTGGACCTTGTGATGAAAATAACTATTTTAGCTCGTGGGATTATATCACTCGCCTTCGGCTCGTGATATAAACCTCCCACTCGCCAAAAAACACTTTTTTTGCACTCGTTACGAACTATACTAATTTGTCACTGCTGCTACGTTCAGCCCGTGTCGAAAAGTGCCTTTTCGTTTACTAGTAAACGAAAAATGGCACAGTTCGGCACTCGCTGAACGTAACATCACTAACAAAAAATTATATTTCGTAACGAGTGCAAAAAAGTGTTTTTTGGCGAGTGGGAGGTTTATATCACGAGCTAAAAAACATTTTTTCACGAGTTACAAACAATATTTTTCATCACAATGTGGCGGAAATTGGACTTTTAGGCACGCGGAGCGTGCCGAAAAGTTCACTTTTCGTCACAGCGTGATGAAAAATATAGTTCGGATACACGTGCGACGGGGTGTTTTAACTCGTGTGATTGGCAGGCCTCGGGCCGCCAACTTCACACTCGTGGCCAGCCCGTCGCACTTGTATCGAAATATACTATTGAAGCAAGCTTGTCCCACGTAAATATGTTTTAGATATTAGAATTGCTTTTTCTCAGTGGCCTGATTTGACGTGGATCTGCTCAAATTGCAAATTTGAACACGGATCATATCGCAATTCACGATTGTCAATATATCGGGAAGATGCTCCAACCGGTCAGTGTCGTCTGCCGGGTAACTTCCGGTAAGCCACCGCGGTTTCTCGAGGTAATTTGTGAGCCAGTTCCAGTCTGGCCAGCGTAATCCGCGGTAACGTTATGTAGTGTAGGCACCACCGGTGTATACGTATCTACGCGTTGGACCAACAGTTCTCGGCACTATCCCCAGGACCCTCGCAGTCTTATATCGGGATTACGTGGCTTAGGTGCACGGACCGAAAGCCACGAGGTATCTCCACCATCCCGAAAATACTGTACACGTATGGGATTACCCCACTTTGAATCCACCCTACGGGCAAGTGTAATCTACGGTTGTTCTCAAGAAAGCGACGTTCATCGACTTTCGGAAAATTTTTAGAACTTTTTGGAAATTTTTTTCAACTGGCGAGAAAATTATTTAATGTTTCTTTAAAGCTCTTGAAACTTTGTTTTGATGGATAACATTTTTTATTGCCAACTTCATGGAGTTTTCAATTTTTTTTTTAATATTTAAAAATTTTTAATTAAAATTTTTTTCTGATTTTCTTTTTAGGTTTTCAAATTTGTTGAAATTTCAAATTTTTCAAAACGTTCGAAATTTTTAAATTTCTCAAATTTTCTATCTAAAAAAATGTTTCAATTTTCCAAATTTTTAAAATTGCAAAAGTTTGAAGGTTTTCAAAGTTTTGTAAGTTTTAAATATTTGAAAATGACAAAGTTTGCAAAAAATATTTGTAGCAATATTTCCCCAATCTTGAGAATTAACTAAAAATCCTATAATTTGTGCATGAAATTAAAAATGCTCGAATTACATTAACAAAATCGGCGAAATCCCAAGTTCCCAAAATATCTCAAGTTTCAAAAAATTGAATTTTTTCGCAAAACTCATTTTCACAATTCCCCAATATTTTTGAAAAATGCAATAAAATTGTCAAATCTTCTTTAAAACTTCAAAATTCCTGTTTTCCAAACACTTCTAGAAAAAAAAATTTTTTAATAAAAAAAAAATTCCATTAAAATAATTTCTAAAAAAATTTCAAAATGTTGATTCCGTGCATGAACCCGTCCTGTGGGATGCCACCTGGAACTCGTTCTCACCAAGTGCTTCCCTAATATTCAACTTTTTGTCATCAACTTTGTCACCCAACTGATGTCCCCCCCTCATTTGCCGTGAAATATTCAATTCGTCCCGCGGGAAGTGCCACTTGACGCGATTTTAAAACGATCACCACCGATTGAAATACGCGAGAAAGAATATAAAGACGGAAGAGTTGAGAAAGGTGGTGGAGTTAGTTATACCTAAGATAAAAAGATTGGTTGGCAAGGCGGCAAAAATAGGTATCCTCTTGAGACGGGCCTCTTATGGGGATTGGATGGGCACTTCATCTTTTCTTATCGTCGAGTTGTCGCTCTGCCGCGCGACACTCATTAATACTTTCATCGGGATAATGAATTAGAGTTGCTATGTAATTATTGTCTATTGCTGATTAATTACAGGGTTTCGTTATTTTTGCAGGTCACCGGCAGGAGCAGGATATTTACGTTAGGCTCATCGATTCATCTACTAAACAGGTAAGAATCCGCCACAGTTATCATATATTAAAGTAGGCCGGGATTATCCCTCAGAGAGGCAGTCAATTAAGCCTCGGATGCTGAGTTACTTTGCACTGAGAGGAGTCCGGCCTTTGGGAAAATTTTCAAAAGTGGCGTCTCTGTCGGGAATCCCTTGAAAATGACGCAGAGATGATCAAATTTCACTCTGTCAATCTCGAATTATTGACCATTGAATGCGGTCCGTCTCACTCCAATTCTGACTATCAAGGGATTTTCTCATTTGAATCAGAGGTGAAAGGGCTTATGGTTCGACTGTCGATCGACGTCCAAAGTGAGGAATTATTCCATTTCCATGGCAATAATTTGATGTTCATCCGAAGGGCTATAAATTTGAAATCAATTCGAGATCACGTGAAATTGTCAAATTTGTGTAGAGTCCTTCAAATAATTTTTATTATTCAGAAATTGGTTCTTTTTTGGGAATTATTAGAGAAGAGTGGGGCAAAATCGACTGTTTTTTATCGTCAATAACTCGAACGACATTCATGCCATTTTAAAGATTGAGAATCTCTTGAAAATGACGCAGAAACGTTCAAATTTCACTGTCGATCTCAATTTTCGTCGCATTAATTTGATGTTCATTCGAAGTTACGTGAAATCCACTTTATTTCTAAGTCATTGTGTCCCCCAATGATGGAGTTCTTACCCCCTCACTTCATTTCTTCCTCAATCTTTTCGTTCTCATACTTCACCAAAAATATTGCACTCAGACTCTCCCACATCATCGCCTTGTTGCCTGTGCAAGCGTTATCGTCAACAGAACAAGCACTTAATTTTCCGGGGGGTTGATTCCTACCCCTCGAATCACCCCAGGAGGCGGCAATGCGCGCGGCGACGCGGTCTCTCCACTCAACCCATCCTGCGTTATCACCGCCACGTGGCCGATTTCGTCCTCTCTTTAATCGTTCTCCCCCCCTGCCTTTCGCCTCGCAACCTCGTGGTGAGCCCACGAGAACCACGTGTTACCCTCTCGGTCAGACGGCGATCGAGACCGGTGATAACGAAGGAGGGGATCATAACCTTGGCAAACGTAAATATTGCCATCGAGATATCGAAATGGCTTCCTTTTGTGTCCTTCGAGGGTGACTACTCCGACAAAACCATTCTTCTACCCTTTCACACCTCGCGGGACACCAAATCGGGAAACCGAATTCCATTTAATCGATTGTTTATAATCATTCTCACTGCAAAAAGCAATACGACTGATGAGAATCATGTTTCAATTTAGCAGCTGTTAAATTTTCATATTACAATAACTGATTTGCTCATGTTCTAATTCCTATGCTCACTGAATAAGATTTTAATGATAATTACAATTCAATTCCTTCTAGAACACACTTTAGAGTGTGAATTTCTGGAATTCAATGTTTGTTGATACTCTGGTAAAAGTGCGTGCCCACATTGTTATCAATTTTTAGTTAGTTCACACGGTAATTCAATTAATCTGTTGTTCATCTCATCAATATGATTCAGTGCTTAGAATATTGTCATCTCGTGCTTTCAGCACCAAATTAAAAATTAAAACTTCATTTGGAAGATTGAGTCACAGCTTCTTTTTATTCATATCAGAAATTTTGTATTAAGAAATTTTGGATATTAATATTATTTGTTCAAAGTGAAAAAATCGATCATCATTTTCACTATATTGCATTCAGATTCTCCTACCCTTAACGTCAAAAATCTGAGATAATCTCATAATTCTAGCTATTAATTCTAATCAACTTTGTTCGAAGAAAACCTTAGTAAACGCAATATTAAGAAAGTAGAATTATTCTATTTTCCTCTGACCTAAATGATTTGGATAATTATGATTCGTTTATTCGTGTTTCATAGAATGGTATTCAATTCTCTTTTGTTTATCAGGCGGGCCTCATGAAAATTCGACGCAAGACGATTGTACTCATGAAAACCGCCTTACTTTCTCCGTTTGTTCGAGGTATTGCTCATGCTTTTTTTTACAAAGAATAGAATAGGTTTTATAATTTTTATTAATCCATCATCAAATATCAGTGATAGAAATCACTCATGACTATAGGGTTATTCTGATCAGTCTACGGTATCAGCAATAATTCGTTATAGATTTCTAAAAATCAGTGACATGTTTCTGGTATCAGGCACACATTCTTGAAAATCAAAAATTCTCTTTTCTCTGTGTCCGTCACTTTCTTAAATTATTTTGTATCGAATAGTCGACTGCGACGTTTTAGCAGATTAAATCATCTTGGCGAGTCGCTCGGTCGCGTCCTGAAGAGCGAGACAGGGGCGAAGGGGCGGGAGGGAGAATGGATGTTAGTTTTAGCTGATTAAATTACTAAACCGATGGTCCTTTGCGTAGGCAGAGACGATTCCCAATATCATTTGAATTTTCTTCATCAAGTCGATGTTGTCATTGATCCACTGCACGGAATGAGAAGGATTGTGAATTTTTGAATGTGGAATGAACGGATTTCTCAAAATCATGGTTTTTGTTCAATTTGAGACCGAATAGAAATCTATATTTGATATTTTTTACTTGTTTGCAGAATGTCGTTATTAAAAATTAATAAACTTGTTTATTTGTTTTAAAAGAAAGGATTTAATTGTATCAAATTAATTTTTATTAAGTTCAAAGAAAAAATGTATTCAATTCAAATGAAGAAATTTTCTTAATTTAAGAAAAATTTTCATTTATTATTAATGAAGAATTTATTTGGATCAAATAAATATTTATTAATAATGAAAAAACCATTGATTGAGTATGAACAGAACCTCAAATAACGAAAAATTCTTAAATGAAATAAATACTTTATTTCGTACTATTTAAATAAACTTATTTATTTGATTTAGAAAATGTCCTCGATTTTTCGTCTGGAAAATCTAATCAATCGGATCACTTAATTCATGTTAGATACGCGGAATAATAGCTACAGTCCATAAGAAAAAATCACAACCCTTGGATTGAAATTATATCAGTTAAATCATCGCCCAAAGCCTGAACTCTTGGTTATAAATCCGCGATAATTGGCTAGCTTTATGGTTAGCTTCACTCCTGAATCCAAATATTTCGCACCCTTTTCTCTGGCTGCTCCTGCAATCACCATTTTTCCTTCTCAATTTATAACTCGTCTACCTTATAATTCCCTCCAAGGTCAAGTCCATTGTAGAAACATCGTGCCTTGTACCCAGAAAAAAATCCTTATTGTGAGATTTCACAGATCTTAAATTAAGATTTCGAAAGGATCAAATAGAGATTTTCAAGTGTCAAGTTGAGACTTTGTTGCAAGTTTCCTATTGAGGTTTTCAAGTCTTGAATTGAAACTTTTAAAAATCTCAAGTTGATCGTGGAAAATATGGTACTAATTCTTATGCAAGCGACATTGAATGCGATTTAGGGGAAAAATGGTTAGGAAATTTCAAGTTTTTGGCAGAATTCGAGGAAATTCATGAATTTTCAGTGAAAGTGAGATGAAAATTTCACATCTTGATTGAATTTTTAGTGGAACATGAACATTTGGAAACAAAATTATATAAATTTTCAATTTTTCTCTGAATTTTTCTGATTTTTCTGAATTGTCACGACGCGTTATTTCATACCGGTATTTGTTCATTAAATTATATTTCGCTCCCCAATTACCTTTCGTACAGTAAAATTTGCCCCGATTTTCCATGTAATTTTTATCCAACCTTTCTCTCCGTGCGCGAAACACCAAATATTCCTCCAACATGTTTACAAAAACTTCCGGAGTACATCGAATCGCGCTATCTAAAAATCAGACCTCATATTCACCCCCCGCAATAAGTCTGAAATATGGGTGTTTGAACGTGGATCAAGGAAATAATAAGCCGAAGAGATAAGCTAATCCCCGACAGATAAGGAGAAATAAAAGAGACCCGATCCTGCAGAGGGGGGCGTCCCAGTGCTGATGGCAAGGGGAGCTACTGTTGTGTTTTGTTTGGCGGCATGTATCAAACTGGAAGAACTTTCTTCTCCCTCTGCCCTCCCCCATCTCAAAAACATTCCCAGGGGACTTTGGGAATCGATTCGCGATGGAAATCATTACTGGTGCCATTTGGATGACAATCTCGGGTATTGATCTTCACTTCGTCTCATAGTTCTTAGTAAAATGAATATTTTTTTCAAATCGTTCATTATCCGGAGGGGTAATTCTTGTATGAGATCAGTCAAAGTCGAATGAAATCAGTAAATTTCAGGGCGTTTCAGGTGATTTTCTCAGATCAGACGGTCTCAAGGATGAAAGGGTCAAACAGAGGATGAGCAAAATGACCCTGAAGGTCACATAACATAACACGTGAAAGGCAAAATTTGCAAATCACTTGAAATCCCTGAAAAAATCAACAGTTCAAAGAAAGCATTGTAATTACCCATTAGTTCCGTTGGTTTTAAAATAGTTTATTCGAATCAACTAAAGAAAATTATTCACTCGCAACCGAAATATATAAATAACGACCCTAACGGTCGAATTACTCTGCCCCCACAACTTATTCAACCCTTCAAATTCCCATTTTTCAAAAATTAAAGGACGAAAATTACATACAATCACTTGTAATCAGTGAAATAACATGGAATCATGGAATCAGCGAGTAATCAGAAGCGTCAAAGGGTTATAAGAGGCAAACGGGAGAGACGAGGAACACAAGCCTAAGGGTCAAATAACTTTGCCCGTCTCTTTCGTCTGACCCTCATAACCGTTTGACCCTTCCGATAATAATCCTCAAAAAATCGATAAAACGCAAAATGTGAAATCACTTGAAATCCTGAAATCACTTAACCCTAGACTGGTCACCATGCGAGGGAATTGCCGCAACACGTCGTTTTATTCACCTTGCCATCGACTGGTTGACCGGAAAAATTTGAGAAAAATTGAATTCGTCAATTGAAGTATCTGGAAAATTCTAGTATTATTTTTTCAATATTGTATCATTAATTCTGGGAGAAAAAAAATTATTTCCAACAGGTG